CCCCAAAACCCCAAAACCCCAAAACCCCTGGGATAAATAAAGAAATTAGAAAGGGACATATATAAATATGGTAAATTTGATAAAATCGTTCTGGACAAAGTGCATTAGAGCCGTCAGAACTATTGATCTTTATGGTAAACCTATCACGCTTCATTACAGAGGAAATTATGCTTTTAAGACTTACCTCGGAGGCTTTGTGACGATTCTAGTGGTAATGACTATATGAGGTTATGCATCATATCTTTTCAGAGTAATGGTGGAAAGACAGAACATTATTTATGCAACAAACACTATGATCAAGGATCTTCAGGGAGAAGCAAATATACATAGACCAGCTGAGCATGGATTTGCTTTGGCTCTTGGAATGAGGCGGAGTAATAATAGTTTCCTCGATGAAGAATATTTGCGAATCTTTCAAGTCAAAGCTTATCAATATCGAGGGGTTACTGCTAGAGATGGGAGCTTTACTGAGACAAGGGAGGAACTAGAGCTTGTCAGGTGCAAGGACAATTTTCCATTTTATAACAAGACTCAGTTGGAAGTATTTGGAATAAATAACCATGTCTGAATAAAGCCAACAAATTATTCTATCACTGGAAATTGGTATAGCGATATTTCAGAATCTCTTGAAATAACAGTCAAGAAATGAGATGATTCTGAAAGAAGTGATTGATACAAAGAATCGGAAGTTGATGAGGAAAAGTTCCATCAGCATGTTGAAGTTGTAATGATTAACAGCTATTTTGACTTGGGAAGCTTCTCTAATCCAATCAAGACCTATCTCACTCATAAGCATTTTTATGCTTTTGAGCATGATTATTTCCTTGAAACTAATATTTATTTGAAAGAGAATACTGTAAGTATTCTGGATGATTATACAATGGTTGAAGGTAAGAAAGGTAAAGTCTTTTACAGTGTATCAGACGAGAAGAATGATAGACATATCGGCCCTACTGATGACTTTTCTACTATTCATATTCTTCTCGATGCTGAAGCTGTGAATTATGAAAGAAACGTGTATACTTTCATTGATTTTGTAGCTAATCTTGGTGGTATCTTCAGCCTGATTCAATCATTCTGAGGTCTTGTTCTAGGAATTTATGCTGAGAAAGCTCTAAGACACTCTGTAATCTCAAAATGATACACTTTCAACCAAGAAGACCTAGATTTATACACTGAAAAGATCAAAGAAAATGAAAAATCAAGTGAGCCTATTGCTCAACGCCAAGAAAACATTTTCTCTGGCTATCAGTACGAAGAAGCGAAGATTGAAGAGAATAAGGCATCTTGCGAAGACTACGAAGGAGGGACCTTTGAAAATGTAATAAAAAACCACCATAAATTGAACCCAAAGACTTCTTTGAGTCCTTTCGATGAGGATTCACTTTTAAGGAAGATGAATAACAAATAGGAGATATGGGTACACCACTCTTGACCTGATATATGGAGTCTTCTGCTTAATCAAAATGAAGACTTTTTGTAGGAAGAGGTACATCAACTCGAGGATTTATTCAAGAGGCTGCAAGAGATACTCTCTTGACCTCGATGTTGTTAATATTATTTCAAAGACACATCATTCTGAGATTATGATGAAGTGGATTTTTGATGACAAACAGCGCTTTATTGCAAAGTTTAGCAACAAGAGATCTATGAGTAATATTGAAGATCACTTAAGGAATCCTTTAAAAAGTATTTTAAAATATAAGTGCTCAAACTATGAAAGTAGAGAGGCTAGATACATCAACCAGAACTTAGGTAAGTCTTGAAATGTCGATATCTAGATTTAATAAATGAAATTAAGGAATCTAGAGTTAACGAAAAAGACAAATATATGATTGAGCAAATTGAGAATGGGACAATACTCCAGAAGAGGATCAGAGCGAAAACTGAGTTTAGAGTACCTAAGCCTCCTTGAGATAGCCTACAAATTAAGAAAAACAACATTATCCATGAACTCTCTCCAAGGTAAGAGCTTATTCAATTGTTCTAGGAATAATGGTGAGCCAAATGATGTGCAGAATCAAGGTAGTGCCTCCCAGATCGACATTGAGTTATCTAATAATCAAACTAACAAGAAGGAAAGACTTAGCTCGAGAGATGAAGATGCAAAGGATATCTATAGCACTTTCTTGAATATAGAGGATCAAATGAAATCAATCAACCCAGTTAAGAGAAACTACAATGCTATAAATATTGAGCAGCTGAACATGAATGCAGCTAAATCTAACACTTAGGTATAGGGATTAGAGTATCAATCCATGTCCACCAGAAATGTTGACTTGTGATATCGATATTTTCATATTTCAATACGAGTTTTACTCTTCGGGGTTTTGGGGTTTTGGGGTTTTGGGGTTTTGGGG